ACACATGCGATGTCACATGTACTGCCACACTGAACACTTCCACATGGCCAAACACACGCGCACAAGCACAAATTTCGATGTACGGATAAAGAACAATTCCTGCATACCAAGAGGCCGTCCTAAAGAAGTCGCGTGTGTTTGTTTCCAGGCTGAGCGCTGTTCTCCATTGCAACTGTCCCCGGAGCGCTTGCCAAGTCAAGCAGAAGCGAGTCACTAAAGAGAGCAAGCTAGCGTTCACCTCTTCCCATCACTCGCTGTGCCTGTGTCCTCCGTGTCTTTCACTCCCCCCGCTCCGACTGCATCCCTTCACCGGGAGGTGTTATTGAGTGACATCACTCCGAGGATTTCCTTTTGTTCCGCAGACAGATCACTTCTCTCTCGCTCTCTCTCTCTCCCTCGCTCTCTCTTTCTCTCCCTCTCTCTTCACAGGGCTGTGAGCTATTTTTAGCAACAGAAAAAACACAGCAAGACTACAAAGCAGTTGGTTAGTACACTGAGAAAAAAACGAAGCCAAAAGTGGCTGCGTATTATGAAAAGGTGCCTGCTGCGGGAAAGAAACTCAAAAAGGAAACCCATTTTGTCTCCTAGAGAGCAACAAGATTAAGTGCAAATGGAGACTTTAGCTTATGTCTACTGCTTTTCAGGTTTTCTTCTGAGAATAAGACCCAGTGACATCTCAATAATGTCACAAACAATAATTGTACAAGTCTGCAATCAAAAGTCTTCTCAATTTGAATCAAACAGCTCTCGTCAAATTATTCCAAGGCCAAATGATCCAAGCAATGCTATACACATTAACCGTATAGATTATACTCTTACTTTGTCAATAACTGTCTCCTTGGTGACTATTTTTAGTGCTTGACTCTTGCATTGTCAATATAAGATCTTGAGCAAACATTGATGAAAATAACATCACGACATTTTATTTCCATCAAGGGGTGCATCAATTTTTGGTCAAGATCTTGTACTGGCAATGCAAGAGTCCAGCACTCTGTAAAGTCTCCTCCAGCACATCCCAAAGACAATGAATTTAAGGTCTGGACTCACGGGTGCCAATTCATGTGTGAAAATGATTCTTCATGCTCCCTCCCAACCATTATTCCACAATTTGAGCCTGATGAATCTTGACATTGTCATCCTGGAATATGGCCATGATGTGTCTTCCTACATGGTTGTTTAAGAAATGAAAAGCTACACACTCCATCTAGAAACATAATAATCACTGCAATAATGATGTAGTCATAGACTCTTAAGTATTGGCCTAATACAATATAATATAATATAATATAATAATGTGATTAAGCTTAATCGTATTAACCATATTCACATTAAACTATGTGGTTTGCGGCGATTTTAGTCGCAATAAACAGGCATGCAAACACATTAATCGTATTATTACCGCTCTGAATAACAGCCAGTACGTCCATAAAAATGTATTTTGAATTTGATGTGAGTAGATTCAAACAATGGACGATAACATGCCTATAATTAGCGAATAATTAGAATAATGAAAACTGCATGTAAACTGCACTCAAAAAAATGATATGTTGGCTTTACTTAACTTTTTTTTGTAAACAGGTTCCACCGGTTCCACATAACTATGTTTCGTTAAACAAACATAATATGTTCATGTAACTTCAACATCATGGAATTTGGTCATTTTAAGCGACCCAATTAAACTCTGAGCTAAAGAGTTAATTAAGTGAATAACTGAGTGATGATTGAGCATTATTGAAGACACCTGATGTTAACAAGCAGAATCTCTGAATGAGAAAACCGGAATGTTTAAGTCACCATTATGGAGATAAGTATTCGTTTTAGTTGGGCTCTTGACCATTAACTTATTAACTTTATATTTTGTTTGGTTGCTGTACATGAGTTATAACAGCCGGATGAACAATAAACAAAGGTCATCTGATGGTATTGGTTGTGTTTTAACATAATCATTATTTCATAATCATTTGACCTGAGTCACTGAACTTATATTAAACCGAATTTCTGAGTTAAGTTTACCTTATGGATAATAACAGCACTGTCATTGTAGAGCATACTATTTTTTTGACTTTTCAATGAAATTCAAATGATCAAATCAATAAATAAAAAAGAAACTTCCTAAAAAATATTTTCAGTAGACACACACAGACATCAAGAATCAGCCTGTAAATCTCACCAATGGTGACAATTATAAAGCATGTTGTAGTGCATTCTGGGTGCCACCAATCAAAACTCATTCATGGCTCCCATCATGCATTGCTGCATGAATAAATAATGAGCTTATGATCTGTTTGTCACCATTGCTGAGATTCATATGCTGATTCTTGATGTCTGTGTGTGCCTATTCTAAATATTTTTTAGGAAGTTTCTTTTTTATTTCTTGATTTGGTCATTTGAATTTCATTGAAAAGTCAAAAAAATAGTATGCTCTACAATGACAGTGCTGTTATTATCCATAAGGTAAACTTAACTCAGAAATTCGGTTTAATATAAGTTCAGTGACTCAGGTCAAATGATTATGAAATAATGATTATGTTAAAACACAACCAATACCATCAGATGACCTTTGTTTATTGTTCATCCGGCTGTTATAACTCATGTACAGCAACCAAACAAAATCTAAAGTTAATAAGTTAATGGTCAAGAGCCCAACTAAAACGAATACTTATCTCCATAATGGTGACTTAAACATTCCGGTTTTCTCATTCAGAGATTCTGCTTGTTAACATCAGGTGTCTTCAATAATGCTCAATCATCACTCAATTATTCACTTAATTAACTCATTAGCTCAGAGTTTAATTGGGTCGCTTAAAATGACCAAATTCCATGATGTTGAAGTTACATGAACATATTATGTTTGTTTAACGAAACATAGTTATGTGGAACCGGTGGAACCTGTTTACAAAAAAAAGTTAAGTAAAGCCAACATATCATTTTTTTGAGTGTGTGGTGAAGAGTTCTGTTTGTGTCATTTAGGCCTAAACATCTTACTGCGATTAAGACCTTACTCTGATTATTAGAAATAATCGCATTATTGGTGCACAGATTTGTGCTCAAGATATTGAACTACAAGAATTCTGCAAACAAGTCTTCTCAATATGAGCTAAAACTTTTCTCGTCGAATTATCCCAAGACCAAATAATCCGAGCAATGCTATACATATTAATTTTATAGCTTAAACTGTTACTTTATATCAACAACTGTTTCATTTGAGACTATTTTTATTTCTACCACAGAATTTTAGGAGACACATCTGTTGCCACTTCATCAAAACATTACGGAGAACTCAGTTAAGTCTCCAGAGACATGAAAGAGCAATATAACCTTCAAGAGCCTCGCGAGGACAATCAACCACCACAGAGCAAATTCTCCCAAAAGACAAGTGTGTCATTTCTGCACCACAGTGTCAGAATAACAATGTTTTCAAACAGGTTTTCGAGTGGGTTTCAGATGCTCAGAAGAGTGTAATGTATTTCTGAAATCAGCAGATCGCTCTGCAGAACAAGAACATGCACTTTATTTCTAAAAAAAAAAGCGCCTCAGCATGGGCCTCTCAATAATTTATAAGTATAATGAGCATCTGTTGTTTTTCCTGGCAGTGGGCGATTTCTTTTTTTTTCTGAGGGGAAAAAGCATTTGTTAAACGAGGCGGTACGCAGCAACTACCTCAGAGCACGTGCGTTGCACACGCGTCCACACGGTCCTCTGTTAAACAATATATGCCAGCGATCAAATCATCCAAAGCATGCTCAGTGGAGCACTAACATCTCTGTTGCTAAAAATAACCCCTCGTTCTCCTCTGAGCTTTCTTAGTCCTCCGCTGTTTCTTTTTATAGCCGTGCCTGGGGAGCTGGCCTGCCGTTTTTAGAAGGACATGACCACAGTCGCTGCTCCTCGTCCCGTTTGATCTCAGCTGATGACACATGTTTACTTGCTCACAAACACACACAGATGCCATAGCATGGAAAAGCACGAAAAGTCTTCCCTTAGGCAGCATTTGCTCTTTTCACTGTGTAGAAAATAAGTAACCTTTATTGATAACATTTTCTTTTCACCTTTCCAGGTTCTTAGAAACAGAAGTCATTGGCTAAAATTCTATAGTGGTGAATGAGAGTCTACAAAATTGTTTGCATTCCCAATTTATTCAATAGCAAAAGAAAAATCCACTATAATGTGTTCTGGATGGTTGCTAGGGCATTGCTAGGTGGTTGCTAGGGTGTTTCTGTGGTTGCTATGTGGTTGCTAAGTTTCATAGGTAGTTGCTAGGGAGTTGCTATGATAAGATTACACTGCCGAAAGTCAATAGAGGCCAACCCTAAGTTACTACAATGTTATGTGGTGCTGAGATATGGCTTTTCATGTTCCTATACAGTTACTAGGCTTATCTAAATGGTTGCTAGGGTGAAGAGAGAAAGAGGCCAACATTTCTGTCACTCCCTCCGATGTTTTACAAACACTCTCTTAGTGTTTCTCTTACTCTCTTATTTAAATCCAAGACGATAAAACACAAAGCATAATGCTTTTTTTTATTTTTTATTTTATGAAAATTGATTTAAAAAAAACTAGAATTACAAAGTTAAAAAAACGTATTAATGCATCGTCACAGTCTGTGAAAAGGTTCATAGTAAACAGGTTTGGATATTTATATACCATTGCTCAATGAATATAGCTAACAATGACACTGATTAATTATAATACAACATAATATAACTAATATAATATAATCCAATTTTTACGTTTAGTTTGTTATTAATTCGATTAATCGCAACTTACATAAATGTACAGTATATACATATATATATATATATATATATATTTTCATATATATATACGTATATACGTATATATATATACGTATATATTTCATATATATATATATATGTATATATATATTTTCATATATATATACATATATATATATATATATATATATATATTATAAACTTTTATGTTAGATGCGATTAATCGATCTGACAGCACTAGTATAGATATGCATCTGCTCTTACCGTGAAACTGTTGTTGATATTCTTTGTGCTTGATTCGGCAACACTCGCATCTGAAAGATCCACTTCGTCGAAAATAAGAGACTGTGAACGGGAGGAGAAAGAGGAGATCAGTAAACATGGACGATCACAGTGCCGCAACAGCATTAGCTGTCATTGACAATCTCTAAGAAAGCAAACATCTTATGCACATTGATACTGGTCTATTGAAATGAAACAAAAATGAGCTTATTGAAATATTGCTTATCCCAAGGATGGGCAACATCGGTCCTGGAGTGTTGCTGTCCCGCAGAGTTCAGCTCCAACCCTAATCAAACACGCCTGAACAAGCACAATGTCTTCAGGATTACTAAGGCTACAGGCAGGTTGGGTTGTAGCTAAACTCTGCAGAACAGCAGCTCTCCAGGACCGACGTTGCCCGTCCCTGCCTTATCCTATGCGCTGACATGCGTATACTGTATGCTATGAGTTTAAGATGGATCGCAGACAGCTGGGTGCGGCATGACCTCCTCCATCAGCGCAGAGAGCAAGAACTAAAGGCCTGAGATATGATACCATACACCACTTTTTTGCAAAACAAAACATTTGTCATTTTCTTCAGACATAATTAGGACTGGGGAGTATGAGCAAACATTTTGTATTATATTGTCATTTTTTGTCACGGAAATGGTATCTCTCATCGAAGTTAATTCAATTGAATTTATTTTTATTTATATAATTTAATCTACTATTTAATTATTTTTTTTGCAACTTGATGGACACAAACAAAAAGATCAGATTATTCAGTGCATAAAAAAGCTCACCGAGGATGCATTTATTTTATCAAAAATACAGTAAATATTGTGAAATATTATTACAATTTTAAATAACAAATTTCTATGTGAATATATTTTCAAATATAATTTATTCCTGTGATGAAAGCTTAATTTTTTAGCATCATTCCTCCAGTCTTCAGTGTCACATGATCCTTCAGAAATCACTCTAATATGATGATTTGCTGCTCAAGAAACATTTAGTATTATTATCAATGTTAAAAACAATTGTGCTATTTAACATTTTTTGTGTGGAAACTGTGATAAAACAATGTTTGCAACAATGTAAAAGTCTTTCCTGTAACATTTGATCAATTTTGTTATATTTTAATCTTACTGACCTTACTGATTTTTTTTAACAATGTTTTTTGTGATCCAGACAAAAAAAATGAACATCATGTCATAGACCTCAAACATATATAGGCTATACCAGTGACCAGACATCAACCAGCTGACACATGTCTACTGTAGTGATATGATATATTCCATCCAGCCCTATGTATAATCAAGTTCACGTATGAACTCCAAAAAAAAAACATTTGCATTTAAAGGATAAAATGTGTATAAAAGTCCTTTCCATCAAGTTTCAATAGAATCAGTGAAGGTTTGTTTTGGTGATTGGCAGATATTTGAGTAAATGATGGTTGTATACTCAGGCGGTGTAAACAGTGTGACATCCTCTTTATGATATGTGGGCTTGGCCGCTCTACAGCATGAAGTGCAGGCCTCCGCGTTGGCTTTGCCGAGTCTGTCACAGACCCGAGTGCCATGCCAATACAAACAAAAGCCCCTTGTCTGAGCGCAGCAGTGTGATCGGCCACCTTGTTTCTGCCTGTGAGGTCTGTGGCGTAACTCCCAGCTCTCTGTCACCATGCGCTGGTGCCACTCCATGTCATTCAGGAGCTATGCAGGAAGTGCTAGCTTGCGTCATGGCGTAACAGCTGCATGGCTGGCGAGTTTTGGGCTGAATTTTAAGCACTCACTCTTTCTCTCAGGATTCAGATCACGGACGAAATGCCACCCACAGGGCCCTATGATTTCCGTAGACTTGGACGGAATCGCGGAAGCCAGACACAAAAATAAAATTTTAAGTTTAACGCAGAATATCATGGAAATTGGAAATTTTTGGATGAATGCATCAAATGTAGGGCTGTACACTCAATCAAATCGCAATAACGTCTGTGAATATTAAAGTGCAAAAAGACAGTGAAAAAAATACGAAGAATGCATGTTCTGCGTGTTTCTGTGTACACACTCAAACATGTGCAACGCTTGTGGTGTTTTTCAATGTCTGCGCTCTCACTATATGAGGACATGAACACATGAAAGAAACTGCTCTGAGAGTCACTTCAGCAGCATTTCACCATTTGATTTAAACTATCGTCATATCATGTATACACAGTTATGACAACCCGTGAAACAACATGACATCATGACTTTGCGTAAACATACACGCCACTTTCAATTCAAGTGGCGTATATCTATACGCATTTTGAGCTATCCGCGTGTATGTCCACGCCGAAATCTTTTGCGTGTATGTCTACGCCATTAAATGTCTGAGTGATTCCGCGTGTATGTGTACGCCGTTAAATGTCCGAGCGAAACGAAGCAAAATCTATATCTACATCTGTGGAGCGATATTTCTTTTCCTAGGATGGTAGGAGAAGACTCATAAATGGTATTAACCCCAGTGACGGGTAGGTTTAGGGACGGGGTTGGGGTAGGTCATATATTTATACAGTAATATAACGTTAAGTCAAAGGCGTTGATAAACACGCTGAAAAGCGATTATGCGTGTTGATAGCACGGCAAAAATGGAAATACGAATTGGCGTGTCATACATACGCCATTTCATGAGATCAGTCTGCGTGAAAAAAAAAGTTTGCTTTTGAAAAAATTGTGACAGAAATGTATTACTACCGTTCAGTAGAATTTACTTCTCAATGTAATAAGAAAAATAATACATTATTAAAACATTCTTTTTTAAGGAATATCAGAATTTTTTTTCCATTTTCACTTTAACAGTAAACAGAATTTTTGAAAAGATAAAACATTTCATAGGGCCTTATTCTTGTTGATAAATTTATAAATTGGAAAAGTTTCATGAATTCAAATGATTAGACATGCTTTTTGATTATTAAAAGGTATTTGTAAACGATTCAAATTTAAAAAAAAAAAAATGCTGTTAAATTGTATGTTTCATTATATCAATTAATTACACATGATTTTCGTTATTAAACTAAAAAACAAATTATTTTGGGGGAAATAAAACAGAATTTGTGAAAAAATAAACCGAATTTCACAGGGCCCTACATCCAACCACAGGAAATGCAGCTGATTGAGCAGAGAACAAACGAATGAAGGCAGACACACTCAATGCAAGGCTTGCTTTAAGCGTCTTCATGGTGGAGGCACAGAGACACACTAGAGGGTAAAACATCTCCTCTCAGACACGGACAATGACATACAAGGCACGTCTCCGGGACAATCCTCTTCAGAAGCCTAAGCGGACAAGCAGACGCGTAAATGACGTGATGTCGCTTTAGTTGTTCCACAGCTAAACTGTTCTCGTCCAATGAGGAGAACAGGCATCCCGAACAACGCCAGGCAGGGTGATGGGCGGTCGGCAATGTCATTGATGAAGGATAGATATATTAAGAGGGGGTCGCTGTTGTTTCTGACCCGAATCGCCATCAAGCCTTCCTCCGATCCACTGGGGCCAAGAGTGGGCGGCGGATGGCGGGCACCGGTCCAGCAGACGGAAAGCACCCTCCAGCACACGCGGCTACGAGAGACTCGATACTGCCAGCGGGCCAAAACGCCACCCGCCTAACATAGTGCAACCACACACACACACACACACACACACACACACAGTGACATTAAAGGCATGGCAAAAGGTGCAATGCAAGTGCCCATGTGCAGCTCTTCAGCCCCTCTCAGCACAGGCATGCCCAGTAACAGAGGTTCAAATTTTACTACCCCTTACCTTAGATCACTCTGTAGGGCTTACAGAAGGCTTTACTGTACACTGTAAAAAATGTTATCATCGTCATGGAAATGTTTTTGACAACTGGATTTTCTTCATCGGGAATTAAATACAATTAAAAAGTGCTATGGGTTTACTGTTTTTAAGGGAGTAATTAAAGGTTTTTTTTTTTTTTTTTTACAGTGTTGTGAGTGTGTAGATTGTAGAAGAATCAGTATCAGGGTATAATCAAACACTAGTTCTGTGTGGTGCTAAACTCACCTTGGCATCCTTGGCATAGTAGAGTGTACGTCCCCGCAATTTGAAATAACGTTTTTTCCAACGCTGGAATGAGCTCGTCTGTTTCAGAAGCAGCCCTTCCTTCACACTCGTCTGCAGAAAGAAAGAGATGTTTAATAAAAAGTCAGAAACTGTTTAAACATCTGCACAAAGCACAATCACGTAGGGGTGGGCGATATGGCCAAAATCTTATATCACGATATGAGTTATTTTATTTCACGATACACTTATTTTTGCTTTAAAAAAAGGATTTATGACTTTTGATACTATTGAAATTTCATAAATCTTGTCACCAATTTCAATATCACACACACACACACACAAAAAATAATACTAGCCTAAGTAAAAGGTTCTCAAGCTTACAGAAGGCAAGTAAGCAGCCAGTGATAAAATAAGAACAAAGAAACTAATTACAAACAATTATAGAACAAACTAAAAAGAAAAAAAATCACAAATGAAATAAACCTACCTAAAAAACTTCAAGAACTAGAAATAATAAATACTACATAAATTGTAATCAAATGTAAAAAAAAAAAACACTGCATAGTCTTCACTGTGTAAATTAAATTTACATTTATTCTTATTAAATATATGCATTCTTATCAGTCAAGAGCAGTGAGAGATGTTCTCTCTTTTGTTATTTGATAAACATGACAGACAGCAGCAGGTTTATTAGGCTGCCGTCACTTTAAGACTGAATGCACGGAACGGATCCAATAAACTGTTACACGTGTTTTCTTTCTCAACTGTTTACGTTCACTTAAGACATAAATGAATGTATTCATGAGGATACTTGCAAAAATTGGCATTTTGACACGCAATTATGCATATTTAACCATTCAAGCCCAATCACGTGGCAAAAATAACTCAGTTCAGTACTCACGGTCTGTATGTGCAGCGGTTTTATGTGCGTGCATCTCTCAGCACGTGCATATAGCCAAATGAGTTCTCTTTCGTGCTTTTTGCGTTTCAATGGTTTAAAAAAATCTGTTTTTAAAAAAACTCATGTTAACGACAAGCTTTCATGGTCATGCAGAACAGCAACGTCACGTGAACATAACCGCGATAGAGACGATAGTCCAAAATCTTTACCGGTTGACAAATTTCTACAGGTTAATCTTGTCTAGAGTGATAAACAGTAGTTGTCAGTAGTGATAAACTGATTAATCTGTTCCAAAACCTAGACATTTTTGTATTGTTCCAAAGCTGACACACCTCGTTTAGGTGTCGATAGAAACAGTTCCATCTAATTAAACTGTTATGTACTTTTTGTGCTTATTGGACTATCATGTTTTTAGCTTAGCAACATGCTAGCACCAAACTATTTAAAACAATTGTAAAGGCCTGTTCACTCCAAAGGCTTCAATAATAACGATAACTATAAAGGTTTAATAGTCATTCTAATTCTATGAGAATGGGGACATCCACACCACAACTATAACTAATATAACACAGATGAACAATAGTATATCGTTGGAATCAGTCAGAGCATTTTTTTTTCAGCTGATGAAAGATAAAGACATTAACAGCCAGAATCCACCCAACTTTAAAGAGCTGAAGCATTTAAAGCGGCAGACAAGAACGTTATCGTGCATTTATGTTGACGCTTATAAATTACCGTTACAGTTTTCTTTATAGTTATCTTTCTTGGTGTGAACAGGCCTTAAGTGATACGGCTTGGTCACATTTACTGTTGCTCGGGGAAATTTCGCAGGTGCCATTTTAATAGGAATCTGTGCATTTGGGAGTTTCGCTTGAGGCCAAAGAAAGTTCCAAGCTAAAATGTTTGTGTGGTGTGTGTGAGAGACCATTAATGGAGTTGCTGCCTGTGTAGACTGTATCAGTTCAGTCACTTATGAGGTTCCGTGATGGTTATGATTCTGCCTTAGCAGTTAGATAGCTACATAAACAGTATTTGAAAGCTTCGTAGATGTGTTCTCTCAATGCGAAGACTGCTGCAAATGTAGGTAGTATGATTATGCAATCTTCTAAGTTAACTTCTTTTGGCCAAATTCATCCAAGATGGCAGACAAAACAAGATAAATGTAGATTAAACACTTAAAACAGATACTGTACACAAGTACATGAATGCAGCCGCAAGCAATGTACTTGCATTCGGGTTATTAGCCGTGCAAGATCAACTTTGTGCATTGTTATGTGTCAGCATGCAATTCATTAATAAGTGTGTTCACTGGCCAAGTGCACACGGTTGAGTTCACGTATTTGCGTGATCGTATAAGTATGTTTGATTCTTAAAAACCATATGCCTTATGATTCTTAACAAGCATAGCGATAAAAATAGTTTAATCTAAGCATAAACCACCTAATATTAAGATATTTGGGACTATTTTACCCAATATTACTGTGTGCTATGCTTTTAAATAATTAGCTTAGCAACATGCTAAAGCCAAACACTGTTGAATCAATTGGTTGCTATCTGTATAGAGCATTCTACATATGTCACTTATATAGTGATTTAAGTTACCTTTCTGTTAAGTTTGCTTTCTATAGGCAGTAGATAGCAAGGCAAGACGACAAGGTTTGGAAACAGAATCTAAGTCTTTGGTGAAAAGATGTGTAAGAGTGGGGTAAACATTTCATTGACACTGACAAACCAAAATGTATTTATTCAAATCAAATCAAATCAAATCTAAATGATTTGATTTGACAAACGTAAGGCATGCTTCTCTTTTGTCAAATGGAAAAGTTTTCTAATTTTTTTGCCATTTCCTGTGGATATATTCCAAGTTACCAGAGCTGACTGAGTGACATGAAACAGACAGGGCAATAAAATAGTCCTCTGTCTAACCAGCTGGTCAAGTAAGCTAAATTATAACCAAAAATATGAGCTTTTCCTACACACAAACCATCCAGTTATATACCAGCTATGTAAACAATGTTATAATGTACCAAACAAAGCGGCGGTATTTGAGACTTAACATAAGCGTAAAGGAAGCAGAATTTGAAACACGATATCAGCTCTGGACGTCCACAGGGACATGTGCACATTGCCACAGCCAGAGGAAGGAACAGGAAGCCCTGCCAAGATCAAGTGCGCCTCAACACCAATTTCATGCTCGGGAGGGGAAAGACAAGGCAAAAGGCACGCAAGAAAGGAAGCCCATTACTCAAAAAGATCCTGTCCTGCAGAGTGCCACCAAACTCCCGAAAGCAACGAAAGGAATCAAACCTGAGATCTACATCTTTAAACACTCCAAGCAAAACTTTCCTCAAGATCATCAATTTTGCAAAGCCGGATAAGCGACTCAAGTCTGCTGTGAAAGTGACATTCCAGACGGCCCGATGCAGTTTTCAAAGGCAGCGCATGCGGTTTCGTCCCTGCATGGGCCGGAGGTCTTTGACATGGCAGTCGGAGAGAGATGGGGGCCAACGCCGAGGGTCATCCCGTCAGCCAGTCGCCTTGGCTACACTGTCATTTCACATCATCCCAGACCCATAACCGACAATAAACAAGGCCCATAGACCTGCAAGCAGTCATGCTCCTTCCTGTCCATTCATCTACAAATATAGCAGGAACATGGAAGAAAAAACAAAACAAACAAACACAAATCCACAGGCATATATGGGAGGACGGCTATTTATAGCAGAGGAAATATGCTCTCTGAGGGGAGAATTACAAACAGAGACGCAGGGTTCGATCTGACATCCTGGTGCACAGCTGTGTCAACTTAAACAGCGAATCCATCCGCAAGCGCACTCGGTGACACCACGTGTCTGTTAAAACAGCTCGGTTACAAAACACTGAACTCGCTCTGCCTTCACCTGCGAGACAGTTAATGTGCCATTGGACGATAAATGATGGTCTGACTGTTGTGAAACAGCGGAAAACTAACTTCTGGGGGGTCTAATACTCAAAGTCCCCCATAGGTTATGTAATGTGTGCCCTGCATGTGAGTAATGTGGCAAACTAGAGTGTTTCTATTATAACTAATGAACAAAGCTGTATACACTGAGAGTATGTGCTTATTATAAAGGGAGTGCACTTGTTTTGTCACGCCATGTTGATTCGCTTGCAGTGTTGTTGGGGGTGTGAAACTGTTTAAATGCCGTTAAATTGGTACATTAATCAGATTCATTTACTAAATGTTTCGCAATTCATCCAGACTGTTTAATAAACAGATTTCAGCAGAGCTGGCGGAAGAAATTATGAAGGACATCAGTGTTATTTTAGTACTATTTATATACTATTATAGTAAGTATAAATATTTTGATTTTATTTTCAAAATCATTCATTTAAGTTTTAGTCATTTTAGTTTGTCATTTTTATTTAGGTTTTTTCAGTTTTAATTTTTCCGTTTTTTAAATTGTTTACTTATTTCACATACAGGCAACATTTTTAGGGCCCTACGGAAATCTGTTTTATTTTTCTCCAAATTCAGTTTTTTTTCTTCTTTTAATTAATTTTCTAGACATTTTAATGGTTACATAAAAGTTTAGTAATCAAAAAGCATGCCTGTCAGGTTGCTGTGCAGGTGACCGAAGACGAGGACACAGGTACTGCAATATAGTTGATTTATTAACAAACTTAACTTTCAGGAACCTACAGGAACAAAGGAAAGGAAAGGAAATACTGAAGGACTTCAATACTCAAACAACCATACATCGACGACGACCAACAAACACTGAGGGAAAACACAGGGCTTAAAAGAACTGGGACTAATGGGATAATTAACTGAACACAGGTGAAGAAACTGAACACAAACGAGGAGCGGGAAAACTAACAGGACTGAACCAAATATCACAAAGACAGGGGGAAACAAGATTACAAAACTGAACTAAACACACTGAAAACGTGACAGAACCTCCCCCTCCCCGAAGGCGCGTCCTCGCGCCGTATAACATCCAAAGGGGTGGGGGGGTGGGAGGGTGGGCGCCCTGGAGGCTGACGAGGGCAGGGTGGTGCAGGGACGAGAAGCCTCCAGGGCGGAGCTGGTAGCTCGGGGAACCGGGGTGGAACAGGCTGTGGGTGTGGCCAGGGTGGAGCAGGCCGCGGGCGTGGCCAGGGCGGACTAGGCCGTGGGCGTGGCCAGGGCGGAGCTGTCGGACCCTCGGGCGTCCAGGGCGGAGCTGTC